CGCTGGCCGCCTTTAATTCCCAGGACTGCACCTGGTACCCACACAAGGCTGGGTCGACCTGGGAGCCAAGGTCATTTTTGTTTTAGAAAAAAAATTGTCCAGCCCTCATCAGAAACCGAGTCCACGACCTTTCTATCTACAGGTGAGCGTCTAATCTCTAGACCATAGTGGCTCCCAAATATATATATTTATACATAATGGCATCCGTCAGTCTTGGGGGACTATGGAGATGTGCCGCTGGCTTTGGGAACAGCATCTGCTGTGACTGTAAAGTCCGAATGGCAGCCTTTGCCACACAGGATACACACAAAAGCAGATACTCCCTCGTTATGAGGCAGTTTTACTCTCCGGTGTCTCCTCTCCACAACTCGTTGTGTTCGGTTTCTTTCAAAATGTGACAGTCCGTCTTTCACTTTCTGTCTCCATAGTAGTCGATCTGCAGCTGATTTGTTCCATGTCTCTGTGCCTATGTTGGTATCTATTAGGTCACGTTTGCATACATCTTTATAGCGCAGCTTTGGCCTTCCTGTAGGTCTATTCCCAGTTACCAATTCACCATATAGGAGATCTTTTGGAATGCGTCCATCCTCCATGCGGGAGACATGTCCCAGCCAGCGCAGACGTCTTTGCTTCAGTATACAATACATTGATGGTATTTTTGCTCTTGTGAGCACACATTCGTTGGAGACAAGATCTCGCCATAATATACCAAGGATGCGTCTCAGACAGCGCATATGGAAGGTATTCAGTCTTTTTTCCTGTGGAGCATAGAGAGTCCAGGATTCACAGCCGTACAGCTCAGGACACAAGATTCATAAACCTTCATTTTTGTATTATCAGTTAGCTTTTTGTTTGACCAGACTCTCTTTATGAGATTTGCAAACATAGCAGAGGCCTTTCCTATACGTTTGTTTAGTTCTGCATCCAGAGAATGATTGCCTGAGATACGTGAGCCTAGGTCAAACTCATTTACAGCCAGCAGCTGATGGTCATACACACTAATATTTGGTGGATTTCCAACATTCAATCCAATCACTTGTGTTTTGTTCAGACTGATGGTAAGCCCAAATTCTTTGCAAGCATTTGCAAAGCGATTCATCAGGATCTGCAGATCATCCTCTGAATGTGCCACAATGGCTGCATCATCCGCAAACAGAAAATCCCTGAGGCATCTCGTGTGCACCTTCGTCCTTGCACGTAGCCTGGACAGATTAAAAAGATTGCCATCTGACCTCAAACGGAGGTGTATATATATATATATACATAAATTCCGTACCATGTAGCGGTGTTATGTGTCACATACGGCTCGCAGTCTACTCATCCATTTTGTGCGACCAGTTCAATATCTTGGATAGAATCTTATTTGTTTTTCACTATCTCCGGCTCTATACTCCGGTAGAAAGTTCTAACTCTAGTGGAAAGTTCTAACTCTGGTGGAAAGTTCTAACTCTGGTGGAAAGTTCTAACTCCGGTTAAAAGTTTTAACTGCGGTGGAAAGTTCTAAGTCTGGTGGAAAGTTCTAACTCCGGTGGAAAGTTCTAGTTCTTCCTCAATTTCCAGACTATAGTCTTTGGGTGCTGTCCCTTCTAGCCCCTTTGGCCCCTCTCATCAACGTTCGCTTTATGGTTTCTCTTATAAGTCCTTGTTTCCTATGTCTCTCTGTTTCCCATCTCAGTGCCTGTTGATAGTGATTCTCTGCTCGTTTTGTTGTTGTTCATGTTGTGTCCAATAAATCGTTATCTTCTGTGTCATGTAAATGTTGATATCATTGGCTGCCCATGCATTTATCCTATTTCTTCTTCTTCTTCGTCTTCTTCTTCTTCTTCTTCCTCTTCTTTTACCTCCTCCTCTTCTTCTCTTCCACCTTGTACTCAGGAAAGTGTCGGGGGGGGGGGGGGGGGGGGATGTAACATTCGTTGATGAGCAATGTCAAGAGCACTATTAAAGTTGATGTTCATTTCTGTAAGGCTGTTCTCAATGAAGTCACTTCATATCTTCCGACGTCTTCCACTCGCTCTGTACCCGTTGTAACGTTTTAGTGTGGTTCGCTGCGGCAGGGTTCCCCAGGGCATTCTTGTTACGTGTCCAGGCCACTTCATTTGTTGTTCTTTGATGACTTGTAAGACTGGCTTTATTCCTAATTCTTCACCCCTTTTGAATTCATCCCCTTTTATGTGTATCATTTTCGTCTCTTCGTCAGTTTCCTGAGGCACTTGCTATTTGTTTTATCTTCACACTTATTCTCATTCTCCGTCTCATCTCTTCTATTATATAAATATGCATTTTAATTATTATTCGTGTTTTTCACTCCCTAAATTCTCATAAAACCCAACATTAATGAGAGATTTAGCCAATAGCAAGCACATTACATATTTTAGTTTTTACTCTTTTTAACCTTTTCAGAATGTTTTTTTTTTTTTTCAGTTTAGTAGCAGATCATTTATTTCCAAATCCATTTTATACCGAACTAGATAAAAACACATGAGTTCAGCATTTGATCTTCCTAATGTTTACAGTGCAAAACAATAATGATGAAGTGGTTTAAAATATATTAGTAAATAAATGAGATTATGCACACACAGAAAGTGAACATGAAGCGAGATCAAATGCACCGTTACAACATTCTGTTTTTAGTGAATTAGTCAAATCCGTGCTGTGCTTTGAATGTGGTCAAAGTTTTTATATGTTCCAGGCATAAGCTGTTTTTGAGCCAGCTTTCTTTGATGTTCGTTTCTTTTAGACTCGCTATATATTTTGTTGGCCAACATTATTATCAAACCATTAGTGTATTATTCAAGTTCAACAGATTTGGTTGTTTTCGCTACTGATTGCGAAATTGTCAGTGACTCACGTCTGTTAGAGTATGTGCATATATGTAAATGAGAGTATATAATGGCGTGTACAGACATGAGTGTATATATGGGTAATAGGTTTGTATGGGTGGTGTGTGTATGTATGTTTTGTGAGCGCGTCTGTGAATATATGACTGTTTTTATGTATGTATGTATGTGTGTGTGTGTATATATATATATATATATATATATATATACGTGTGTGTGTGTGTGTGTTTATAAAAATTATATCATTGGGAGTGTGTGTACGGGTAATTGTGAATGCATAAGTGTCTACATGTGTGTGTGTGTGTGTGTGAGTACGCATGCATGTGTTTGTAATTATAAGTGCGCATGAATCTAATTGTGCGCATTTATGAATGAGTGAATTTGTGAGCATGTATTTGTATTTATGAATATGAGAGCATTGTTTGTATGATAATGTGTCTGTATATATGTAACTATATGGTGTGGGTGTGTGCGTATAATCTATGTATGTGTGTATGGTGTGTGTATGTGTGCCTGCGTGTATGTACATATGTAGGGCAAAATTACGCTTGGTAATACCGTGTGTAAAGTAAAGGAGCTTATTCCACGCCTTCGGGCGTATCGGGCATATAGGGCTAGTCCTATTTTTTATAGACCAATCGGCCCGGCTCGCTAGCTCAGTTGATTAAACCTGATTACGCAGCGACTGGTTGACGAACATCTGGTGGTCCGGGTTCACACCCGGGTAGACAGAAAAGCCACATTTCTCCCAGATTTGCGGTATCTATCATGGAATCAAGTCCGAAGGGTTGCGATATCCATAGTACCGAGGCAAAGGGTTAACAACTCGTGGTTTCTGGATATTCACACACACAAAAGACTTGTCCGTACTGGGTGGGTGATGTGGTCAAAATCACACCGGCCGCCTTTACTTCTCACGATTTTAACAGGTACTCGTTTAAGACTGGATTAACATGGGATTCACTAACAGGTAACCAAAGAAGAAAAATAAACCGACCGACTTTTTATCCCACCAGGCGATCCCACTGAGCGATAAACACCCGGTGACATAAAGTGCCACCATTTGAATGAGGGTCATCCATGGAAAGGTCCATGAAACCCCGTTCAACCGTTAGGTTATTTTAGGGCCCCCGGCAACAACCAGTGTGGGGCTTCAAATTTACGAAAAGTACGTACAACATATAAGGTTAGTTGCGTATTCTTTACAGGACGTTGCAGAACCAACCCCAACAGCCCCCGGCTGTTTGTGTGGTTGTTCTATGCAAATTTACGTCCAGTAGTTTGCCATTACTTTCTGGACGGTCGGCTTTCTTGATTCCACTGTCGAAACCAACGCAAGTGCACATGGCTTGCAGTTGGGATCGAACCCGGCATATCGGCATTACGAAGCTTTCGCATCGACTTAGCCACAGGGCCGGCACGTACCACATAGGGACGGAATAATAGTAAACCAACACAGGAACTAGTGGTATCGGTGGCCACACGCTTAGGGATATACAGACGATGCGATCCCATCACATGGACTTGTCTGATGTGAGTGAGGATAATCTTTCTTAACTAACTAGCCTGGGAGCCAAGATCATTTTTGAAAAGGCTCCCAGTACCATATGTTGAGAAACTAATGAACATACAGTCACTTTCTTGATACTGCAAGTGTTCTGAGTTATAAACTGAGAACCGTCATTACAGCATTCAACCGTCATATGTAGACCGTCAGAAAGCATAACGTTCCAATTCGGATGGTACCTGTGCCCCCAAAGTGTTCTTTCGCCATCATAGGATCCTTACAACATATAGCTGTTTATGCATTACTTCACCACTAAGTGGCGCAGAACCAGTCAGTCTATCTGCCTGTTTGTTTCCTAACACCAACATCTCCAAAGGACACTGACACCCAGGATCTCTAAAGCTATGCTTGCCACTCTGCATAGAGCATATTTGTCTGCGCCTTTCTCAACATGTTCTATGAGTCAGTTACAATTAGACGTGTGTACAGCCGGTTTTGAAGACAGCAGAAGGCTGCAGTGACTCCTCCACCTCCATTCTCAATCTAGATGTTGTCCTATTATATCCCAGACTTTGTTGCACACAGCGCGATATGGAAATAACTAGTACATAAATTAATTTTACTTTTGTGTGTGTTTTTTATTCTTAATGCAGACTTTACGCAATTGGAGGTCGCGATGGAGGCTCATGTCTCAACACGGTAGAGTGTTTTGATCCACATACTAACAAGTGGACCATGTGTACTCGCATGTCTAAAAGAAGGGGAGGTGTGGGTACATCCAATTGTAATGGGTTTCTCTATGCTGTTGGAGGGTACGAAGCGCCAGCCACAAACCCAGCCAGCAGCAGATTTGAATGTTCCGAAAGGTGAGTGTGTGTTCTTAATTAATTGTTTAACTAGCATAGGTTTAAAAACCATGGGGCTGTCAAGTTGAATACCCGTTTCGAATCCTCGGAAAGGTTTGGGTTTTTTTTCCTTCTGTTGAGGGCATAAGTGTTGTACACTTAATTGTGTACACTTTGTTGTACTCTTTGTTGAAGATTTTCAAGAACCAAGTATTTAGGCCTAGGGTGCCTATTCTAGTATTCCGCTGGATATCTCCTTGATGGATGTGCTACAGTGAAGTCCTGCATACTATAACCGGCCCATTTGGCCCAGCATCATGTAATACAGTTGCTATCTTTACAAGTCAACAATAACGCTTGTGACAGGCCACATAAACTTTAATGGCATTAAAGTTACACGTCACAAGATGATGATGATTATTCAATAAAACGTACGATAATAACTCTCTATTATCTACTCTGAGAATATAAAAGAATTACACTTTTTTCTCAATGGACTCCTACCATTATAATAAATAAATAGACATTCAACTGTCTCCCGTAGGTACGGTTAATCAAAACCTCACAAAGAGGGAAGGTCCTGTTTGGACAAGGAAAATATCTTGACTGCCGAATCCTTTGTGTTCTGCAGGAGCCTTTGTGTTAATCGCCCAGCATTCAATTAGCTGGTATCCCAGGTAACGACCCGACCCGTGGCCGCTGTGTGAACTTTTCACCTGTCCTGTGACCACTAGAAGAAACTAGAAGAAACTTTAACTCTTTGGACAATAAGATTACAACAATAAGTAACACTCCAACCTGCATAGTCCGTGGCAGCACTAGCTATGGTTAGTTGCGTATCCTTTACAGGACGTTGCAGAACCAACCCCAGCAGACCCTGGCTGTTGTGGGGTTTTACTAGGCAAATTTACGTCCAGTAGATTAGAACTAGCTATACTACACTAAATAATCTGACCCATTGATTCCTCTTCCATCCCCCTCCCCGCCGACACCGCACAAGTAGTAAATAAATGCAGTAATTTTGAGGAAAGAAGACACAAACAATAGATTGCACAATTTACTGTACGACATATTTCGTAGTATCTCCTCAGGTGCATACTCCAGTAACAGTTACAGAAATGAAGCAAATAATTGAATCCTTTATAATAAGTACAGATTCAACAACAATTAACACAACTGTGTTTTACTCGATAAGATACAGTGAAATATGTCAGGCAACAAATTGTGCAATCTATTGTTTTTTCCTGTAAAATTTACAACTCTCTCTCTCTCTCTCTCTCTCTCTCTCTCTCTCTCCCACTCTCTCTCTCTCTCTCTCTCTCTCTCTCTCTCACTGTCACACACACACACTCTCTCTGTGGCTGTCTCCCTTTTTCCTGTAAAATTTAAAACTCTCTCTCTCTCTCTCTTTCTTTCTCTCTCTCTCTCACTGTCACACACACTGTCACTCTCTGTGGCTGTCTCCCTTCCCCACTCTCTCTCTCTCGCTATATCTCTCTTTTCATCTCTTTCGCTCTAGCTCTCTCTCTCTCTCTCTCTCTCTCTCTTTAACTGTGTCTTTCTTCATCTCCCTCGCCGTGTCTCTCTCCCTTTCCCTCTCGTTATATATTTCTCTCTCTCTCTCTCTCTCTCTCTCTCTCTCTCTCTCTCTCTCTCGCTATATCTCCCCCCTTCCCCCTCTCGCTATATCTCACTCATACATACACACACAATTTTTATCCATCTATTTGTCTGTCTGCCTGTCGACCTGGCATGCCGCAGTCTGCCACCGTTAATTTTTTTTACACCTGTACACATATGTATGTGTTTATAAACAGCATTTTTTCCCTTTAATACAAAGATGCTGCACTCACCACCATAAACAATTGTGTATCAACAGATGTGGCAGAATTAAACAATATAGAGTGAATTATTCACCATGGGGTTTGTCTGAAAAAGTCGCCGCAGGCATTCAAGTAAGGATACCATTGACTACGTGTGGCGTGCGGAGCTGCATTGTAACGTGCGGAGCTTGATTGATTGTGACGAGCGTAAAAGTGACTAGGGGGTGTCGCAATGTAACAAAAGGCATCAACACTTAACATGCCACTGGCCAAGAGTAACACAACATGATGAATGCTGAAGCTGCCAAACGTAGCGGAACGAGAACTCTCTTTAAAAGTTCCATTTGTGTATTGACAATATCGATAATCAACACAATGAGAAATATGCAAGTAATAATTCAACTCGTTCAACCAAAGCTCGCTCTTACATCCATGTATTGATATGTCCTCACGATAGGTCGCAGTCCGACCTTGAGATCCAGACAATCATCTTTGTGTTTAGTTCAGCCGTCTGAATTAAATAATGAAGATATACCGGCTTACTGCCGAAATGTAACGTTCACCAGCTTCCTGCTGAGGTCTGTCTTGGAGTCCCGGGGTAAAACGTCCTCAAGGATCCAACTTTATATAACGTTTGCTTCCGTGGGATCCCGGGGTAAAGCGTCCTCAAGGATCCACACGTCCATCTCCTTCGGACTATAAACATCAACTGCCTTTGACAACAATACCTTCACAACGTTACGTATTGTTTTGACGGCTTATTTGCTCACTCCGTACTGGTGCGTTCTGGTGCACATTTGCACGCGACACTACGGCATGACCATGTTTAAGGCTCGCTTCTTCTTCTTCTTCTGCGTTCGACATCAGTCATGCTACACATTGAGTCCCGTCTGGGTCAAAAATAGGATTGTGCGTTTAAGGTCGCCACCGGTCCCCCATAGCTTCTCTCGCAATGTGGATCCCCTGGGCCAGATCCAGTCTTTGCTGGGAGAGGTAAGGGCAGTACTGTAGTATGTGCTCAGGGGTCTGTCTTTCTGCTCCACAATCACAGGCAGCAGATTCTTTTATGCCTGTCCTGTACAGGTGTGCTCGAAGACCACAGTGTCCAGTCCGAAGTCTAAAAATTGATGTTTGTTCTTTGGTGTTGAGTTTGTTTATGCTGTCACTCTCTGGTCTGTAATCTCTATTCTGCTTTCTTCACTCCCGCTTGAAAGACTGCTTTAGTGCTGTTTTGGTTTCCTTGTAGCTGTTTGGTGGATGAGGTTGTGGAAGATTACTCCCAGCTTTTGCCAACTTATCTGCTCTCTCATTTCCTTGAATACCACAGTGGGCTGGTATCACGGCAAGACCAGTTCTGCTTCCTTGGAGAGTAAGCCAATGTTGGTCCTTAGATCTGCAATTAGTTTGTCTTGTTTTTTGCTTGATAGTGCTTGGAGAAAAGACAATGAGTCAATAAGTATAACAATTTTGTGCTCTCTGTGTTCTTGAGTGATGAGATGTTGGACTGCAGAAAGGAGGGCAGTTGCCTCAGCTCTGAAGTTAGTGCAGATGTCACCTGCTTGTAGAGAGAGAGAGAGTTTCTGCTCTACTGCTAGGGGGTTTTATGTATATTCCACAACTCCCCTTTCTGACTGCATCTATAGCAGAGCCGTCGGTAAAAACCTGAGTCCAAGTGGTGTTTGGATACTTCTCATCAAGCATAGCAAGAGCCATGGTTCTCTGTTGTATCTCCGTCTGGGCATCTTTTGAAGTGATCCCTGGTACCTTTAGAACTACATTTGCCTTCTCTGGCTTGCTTGTCCATGGTTCTGGCTAAGGGTCGCAATTATGCTCAGTGCTACACAAACGGGTTTTAAAAAATTATATATGCACCAGTACATATTCACACATACATGTAGACACGTGTGTGTGTATATATATATATATGTATATATATATATATATATATATATATATATATATATATATATATATATATATATATATTAGGGCTGTACCGAATAGTGATTTTCACTATTCGGCCGAATACGAACAGGGGGACCAAATATTCGGCCGAATACGAATACGAATAGTGTATCATCATCATCAGGTGCCTTGCCGACTGGCGTGGGTGATCATGCCTCTCCACAATCTGCTATCTCCTGCAGCATGTATCAGTTCGTGTGCTGACACACCTCCATGCCATGCAACAAGACTGTCAAGAATCTTCTCTTGTTGTCTTTCTCTAGCCCTCCTTCCACAGATCTTTCCAGTGGTCACCAAAAGTTCAATTTTCCCTCTTCTCATAACATGGCTGAAAAATGACGACTGTTTCCTTCTGATGTTTGTGATGAGTTGTCTTCGGGCTCCCGCCTCTTTCAAAACCATCGTTCGCTCGGCCGTTCGTTCGATGTAATTTAAACGCACCTCCATATTCTCGTTAGCAATATCTTTAAATTTGATTTGGGCGAAGACACCCTGAAAGAACGAAAATTGCATGATCTCATTCTCTCTCTCCCTCTCTCTCTCTCTCTCTCTCTCTCTCTCTCTCTCTCTCTCTCACACACACACACACACACACACACAGTACACACTCACACACTGCGGTTGGCATTTAATGCAGTTTGTACTACGCAACCAGGTCGCAGTTTCCCTCGCTACGACAGACTTAGGCAACAGCAACTATTGTGTTAATGAGAGAGTTATTTCAGTCCATCACAGTGTATGCAGAAACGGAAGTAATGTTAGCACTATTCTTATTCGGCCCGACCGCAACTATTCGGCCGAATACCGAATAGTTATTAGGTCCACTATTCGGCCCCGAAGCGAATACGAAGCGAATATTCGGTACAGCCCTAATATATATATATATATATATATATATATATATATATATATATATATATATATATATATATATATATATATACCCGAAGCGAATACGTAGCGAATATTCGGTACAGCCCTAATATATAGTTGCGGTCGGACCGAATACGAATAGTGGTTACACCCGTTTCTGCATACACTGTGATGGACTGAAGTAACTCTCTATTTAAAACAATAGTCGCTGATGATTAAGTTTGCCGTAGCTGGAAAACTGCGACCCGGTTGTGTGGTACCTAGGCTCTCAAGGTCTTTGCCTGCTGAGGCATTACAGCAGAGGTTCTCAAACTGGGTGCGTATGCTAGGGGTGCAGCAGTGAAAATCAAGAACAGTCAGCTATAAATTATGACATTATTAAATAAGGCATGAAGATACTTAAATTTAAATTGTCTTTCCTCACCACTGTCAAAAAGTTTTTCCCCTGTTTCGCTCTCAAAGTTTATCATACTGCATAAAATGCCAACCGCAGCATTCTAAAAATTGTTTTTGTATTTATCTCGAGGTGCGACCGATCCTTCATCTGTGTTCGTGAAGGTGCAGCGGATAAGTAAGGTTGTGATTACATTTTGGCTGAAATTTAAAAGTGGAAAATGTGGTCTGTACAATAGTAACTGTTAGCCTCGTCAAGTAAGAATTTATAATTAAAGGCAATGCGTTCTTTTTTGTTGTTGTTGTCGCTTGTGTGTGTGTGTGTGTGTGTGTGTGTGTGTGTGTGTGAGTGTGTCTCTGTGAGAGACAGAGAGAGAGAGAGCGAGAGGGGGGGGGGGAGAAAGAGAGAATGCATGCATTTTTCGTTCTTTCAGGGTGTCTTCCCCCAAATCAAATTTGAAGATATTGCTAACGAGAATATGAAGGTGCGTTTAAATTACATCGAACGAACGGCAGAGCGAACGATGGTTTTGAAAGAGGCGGGAGCCCGAAGACAACTAATCACGGACATCAGAGGAGACAGTCGTCATTTTTTGGGCCATGTTATGAGAAGAGGGAAAATAGAACATGTGGTGACCACTAGAAAGATCTGTGGAAGGAGGGACAGAGGGAGACAACGGGAGAAGATTCTTGACAGTCTTGTCGCATGGCATGGAGGTGAGTCAGCACACGGACTGATACATGCTGCAGGAGATAGCAGATTGTGGAGAGGCATAAAGCCCACGCCAGTTTGCAAGGCACCTGATTGTGTTGATACACTATTCGTATTCGTATTTGGCCGAATAGTTCGTCCTACTATTCGTATTCGGCCGAATAGTGAAAATCACTATTCGGTACAGCCCTAATATATACACCACACACACACAAACACACATCTCTCTCTCTCAGCATAAGGTTGCAGTGTAACCAGTTATATATGAATATGTATGGGATACTGTAGTCGGCTCTGTGGCTAATTCGATGCAAACGCTCCGGGATGCCGGGCTCGATCCCAACTTCGGGCCATGCGCCTTGCGTTGGTTTCGACAGTGGTATCAAGAAAGCCGACCGTCCAGGGCAATGGCAAACTACTGGACGTAAATTTGCCTTGAAAAACCACACAACAGCTAGGCGCTCTTGGGGTTGGTTCTGCAACGTCCTGTAAAGGATACGCAACTAACCTAAATGGGATACTGTACAAATATGTGGATGGCGGAGGTCAGTGTTTCAATAAAGCAACAAATATGCATGAAAAACAATCATACTTTAAAATGCATTAATAACGTTTATCCGCTGTTTCTTTCTTTTTTTTTTTTTTTTTTTTAAATAGGTATGACCCCAAAACTGACCAATGGACAATCATTGCTTCTCTAAGCAGCCCCAGAGACTCGGTGGGATTGTGTCCCCTTGGAGACAAACTATATGCCATTGGAGGTTATGATGGTGTTCAATACCTTAATGATGTTGAATGTTACGATCCGATCAATAACGACTGGGTCAAGGTGAGTATCTGTTGCCGTCAGTAGACTTATTTTTATAAAGTGATGGCGTAAATAAGGATGATTGCAATCGAGCTGATTGCAAGAGCTGGTAAATATAACAGAAAATGTGATTAGAAATCTCAAAGGTGGAAATATGGAAAAGACGCACACAAACAGAACCGAACGTTTCGACCAGTCTTTTTTAGCGGAGTACTAATACAGCATAAACTGTGACTGGAAAACTTAACGGAAAAGACAGTAAAGGTAATAAAAAACCTTTTGTATTTAGTGCTCCGTTGATGAAGTTTTTGGTTGAAAAGTGTGGTAGCGTTTGTGTGCGTCTTTTCCATCCAGTCACATTTGTGTTATATCGTTTTTTTTTTTTTTTTAATAAATGTTTTATGTTTCTTTATATGACGTATATGTCAACTTCCTTTCTTGTTTTCCTCATGACTTATCGTTTTTTCTTTCTTTTCCAATGACCAATGCTACTGTTTACTCAAAGGGAGACTGCATATCAATTGCAGAATAATTCAAGAAACTATCCACAAATACAAGCTCTGAAAAGTTAGAGAAGCTATTATTTCAAGGAAGAACATATTATGATGTCCTGGTCTCTATTAATTTTAGGCTATGTCGACTTGGAAGCCCAGGTCAGTTTTGTTTAATATCTTGCTTCAGACGGGATTTCTTCTTCTTCTATGAGCTCAGGCAGAAAATTCTGGTTGATTTTCCACCTCTAGACTTAAAGTCACCACTCACAGAGATGCATTCCGATTTAGAAGGAAGCCGCCAGTTAGTCAACTCTTGCAACATGCTTGAGTTGAGTTAAGAATTGACATCACAGCACTCGGGACATTCCCATGCGTGCTCCATCCTCATCTGCAGCAGCCAGCGCAGAGTTCTAGTACTGATGGTACCTGTCACAATCTGGTTATATATCCGTCTTGCCTTTCCTCTGAGTGTAGTGAGCCGGCCAAACCTTCTGGTTACACCCAGGTGCCTCATGCAACATGCTTGTGTGGAGCTAGCAGATCTGTTCTTGTTTGTCCTACAATGGGACCCCGGAACCCACATGAGGACAATAGGTATTTGAATAAATGGTTACCATTAAAGCAGGAACATGTGCTAGCCGTTGTATCAATGCAATTTGCCAAAAACTAACTACACAATGCTATACTTTCAGGTTTATAGTATTCGTCCTATTTCTTTTCTCTTTTTCCCCTTCTCCTTGTATTTTTGCCCGTTTTAACCTCCTGAAATTCAGTGGATGGTATGACTGATATCAAGCCAGTCATGTTTACTTCCCAAAGTATTTAACGATACCCATTTTTAAGAAAATAAACTTGGAAATTGCAGTTGTTTAAAAAAATGTTTCCCTCATAATTAACAGACATTAATGGCACATTTCCGTGCTGTATTTAGCCATAAGCCAACTAAGCTACCGATTATGGCTTCACAGTTTGCACAAGCTAAAAACAAATTCCTTTTTTTTTTTTTTTTACAAATGCAGTTTTATTTTAATATTGTTTTTTAATGAAATTTTCTTTTAATATACGTTAAAAATATTCCGCACTTAGCATCAAGTTTTTAAAAATTATTTTACCTCTTTTCGTTCGCTTGAAATCGATTATCTATATCTGCAATGTTGTCTATAGTATGAACTTTATTGTCTATTGTAATTCAACCCGTAAAGTTTGGCTTGCACCGGTGTTTGTCTTGGCCAACATTTTTTTTTTTTGGCCTTGATATGTTGTATTTGGGACAGTCTTGGAGGACGTGGTCTGATGTCTCAGGTGCTAATGTATACATGGCTATAGAAACTGACTTATTATGCAGCATATTTGTTGATCACAATGTCAGTTTTTCTGAATTTGGAAAACTGAGAAAAAATAATTTAAGTTGTAACGTAGAACCTTTTAGAGCATTATAAAAGGTACACTTATTTTAATTTTATTTTTAGATTAGCTGTTGTATTTCAAAGTGGTTGGGGCCTTAGTGCTTTATATGGCTTAGGGCCTCATGAAGTTTAAATCCAGTCCTGGCATACATACTCAGATATATCATTGAAATTTGCACAACAATAAATGTTAAGTTGAAAGAAAAATACATTTAATTTTAAAATATAATGCTCTATTTATGATTTTGTTGTCTTTGTATTGTCTACCTTCAGGTGGCGCCACTGTGCACAGGAAGGGCAGGAGCATGTGTGGTTCATGTACCAAACAGCTGACTAAGAAGGTCTTATAGTGTCGTTTACAGAAAAGCTAACCATGCCTTGCTCAAGAAATGCCCTTCGGAACTCTCCACACTGAAGAAGCCTCAGCAGAAACAGAAGACAGTATGGAAATAAAAAAAAAACAGAAGAAAAGAGAAATAAAAAACGAAACAAAGCTAGACATGAAAATAGAACAACAAAAGTGTGAAATAATCATTGCTAACATGGTTTCGCTAGAATTACGATCTTCTGAAATCAGGTTGTGTTCAGAGATTCCAAAGCTGGGCTTGAATATTAGTGCTTTCTATCAAATTCAGAAGCACCAGAAAGTATAATCTTCTATGAATATTTATAAATTTATCATATCTTTTTTCTTCTTCAGGAAAATGCTCTCCAGACAATAATAATATTTTTGTGCCTCCACATTGTTCACTTGCTCTCAAAGAGCCTTGGCTGCTTCTAGCTTGTCATAGATAAATTCTCCATCGATTGGTGTATAACCAGCCAGTCTTTCTGCCTGTACATTTCCCATCACTCTTGCATGACTATAGAACATTTCCAAAGAATGCTAACTACTTATGACCGCTGAAAAGGAATGCTGCTACTGTGCTTGGAGCATGCATGTCTTCGAATGTGATGACATAAAATATTTGCTACTTAGAACAACACATGTGATTAACAAGCATAGGAACAAAGAAAGATCCTGGAAAGTAAAGGTAGCCAGTATAACTGGTCTGTAAAAGTGTTTCCCAAAGTGGGCACTACCTTGACCGAGGAGAGGGGGGGTAAGGCACTGGGACGGTCCAAGGAGGCGGTAGTGGCAGCGGCCTCAGTCAAATTTGGGGAGTGCTGGGACACTCCATGGAATGGTAGAAACCTCAAATGCAGATGGAAAGCACTGAATGAGAATAAGACAGCAGGAGAGAGGAATAGTGACAGAGCGTGAGAGAGAGAGCATTTTGATAAACTGTTTTTACCTTTCTCAAGGTAGTGTAACATATTAAAACCCCAGTGATTGCTTAATTTTCAAAAGAAACAAGAAAATTATGCTATAACCAATAGGATTCATCCTTACCATTGAAGAAAATGTCATTCATTAATTTTGTTTAAATATTCCCATACTTTGAGTCTGAGTGGAAGAATGGTCTGAACTGAAACTTTTACAAGCGACAGTTACACACATGTATTTTTGAATAACAGACTTTCTGTACCAGCGATCTGACAGAATTTAAATAGTTAACCACTTAAACTATACTGATTGTTCAGCTTTTCAATCGGTAAAACATTTAGGCAGTTTCTAAGAACATGATGGAAGAGCCAAGCCTCGTTGTGGTTTACGTAACTAACATTATTACTAGATGTCACCAGTAAATCTCCAAAAGACCGAGAGCTATACAGAACCAATGCTCATCAACGACTTTGCTGTTTAGACGGCCACTGAAAACACCTCAACTTCCTGTCCACTTTAAAAATCATTGCAGAAAGTAGAGACAGAGCAAAGAATTGGTGTCTGAAACTTTCATTGATCCTTGCGTCTTTCCAGATGATAGTGCTATACTGTGTTATAGAGAGGCATATGAATCACAGCCAGTTAGGCTACAAATCACAAAGCCCAGACAGTATTGTAGAGGCAAGGTGTTGCACATGCAGCATAGTCCCTTGCTCAGCCTGCCTTGTTTACCCAAAAAGAAAGGTGACACCAATACATTTGTAAAAAATCATGCTGCACAAGCTAGCTGATTAGATAAGCAGTGTTCTGTAGGTGCTTCCCTTAAAGACCAACTGCCAGCTAGGGCTATGGGCCGATCTGCTCTGCCATAACTATTTTCAGACTGCATTTCCTCCTAGCATAGCTAAAGTTAGAGTGGCATGACTCGCTGCGCAGATCACGGGTGAGGAGTATTGTCTAGATTTTTTCACCGTGATACGACGGTGTGTTGGGAAATGAACAGACTGGCTGCAGACTGGCTGTCTCTGCACATCTTTGTGGAATACTGATGCATGATGAGGCAGACGTGGTTAGTGCCTTGTGGGGGAGCGTGTACAGTTCGGAGGGGCAGATAGATCAAAACGATCTGGTAAGATTAATGTAGGAGGGAGTGACGAGAGGGACATACTGGGGAGCCAGTACAAAAAAATATGAATGCTAGTTTACATTATTTAAACAGCATTAAAAGATTATGGTTAAGCACCAGCAAGGAGAACAAAATTAGAATGTTGAAAGCATGCATCTTCCCTGTGGCAACATACAGATGTGGGTCGTAGACTATCTCCCAGTCCTTAAGAAAGAGAATAGGGACTATTGAGCTGAAATGCTATAGAAAGATTCTCAGAATATCTTGGATAGAGAAGAGGAGAAATATTGACATCTTGAAAGATCTGAACATCAAGGAAGATTGGCTAATAAACAGCATCATGTCTCGGAAGCTGAAATATTTTGGTCATATCAAGCGCCACGACAGATTGAAAAAAAATAATAGCAGAAGGCATAGTACCATGAAGGAGGGGCAGGGACCGACCAACACGAAGATGGGCACAGGATATAAGTGATTCCTTGAGTATGAAAGTACATGAGGCCGGAGAGCTGGCGAGCGACTGAGTTTCTTTCAGCAGACCGTGATGAGAGCGACGTTCTGCAAAAGACCTGCTACATGATGATGATGAGTTTACATTACGCTGTTGTAGAGTTATTTCATTAGTCCATTCAAATTTGTTTGTACAAAATCTGTTTCTCTATTATTATATTTAGTGCTGCACAAGGTTCACCTATGTTCAGTATGTTATCGAAGCACTCTGCAATAGAATGAATATGCCCTTTTGATGATTTTTTATTGTTTTCTGTAATGTGTGTAACTTTTATGTTTAAATCTCCAATTACTGACTCTTTAACTGTGATTTTCTTGATTGTGAAGGTATATTTACCTGTACTGAATGTCAGAAACATAACAGTATTGTACACGATTCACTGTATTGCAAGAAATATGAGCTTCACCATACCCCACTCTATGGATATATGAACTGCTTAAATAAGTCTATGGTAATGGAAAACATGCTGGTGTAGATCATAGCTCTAGAGAACAACAGGGATGGATTAAACTAAAGACAAGAACAAAGGTTTGCATGTGCAGTGTCAAGTCTTTTTGTCTTAACCAATGTGTGGTGTGTTATTAGCTATTATCCATGTTATCCCCGCAACACAACATGTTATCTTTCTCATGTGTGGTCTATGTGTGCTAAAGAAATATGGCTAAATATTTTACACTGCAGCATAATGTGTGTTGCATCTTTGAAAGTAACACACTATTACTTTGAGGCTGTGGTTATATGCTTATTGTTTCAGATTGGGTTTCTGCTAGAAACTCATCTGGGGCAGTGGGAATTAATATATGTAATAACAGACTGTATCTCGGATCACTCTGTAAGTATTCTCAGGAAGAAAACAAACAACAATACAGTCATATACCATTTTTATTTAGAACATCAGAATTTAAAAAAAGTTCAAACTACATTATACATAACAGTGTACACTTCTATAATCTGTTACATATAATACATAACCTATGTCGGCATCTGTGGCCTAGGCATTGTGAACGTGCTTCGTAATGCCGGGGTGCTGGGTTTGATCCCAGCTGCGGATGGTTTGTCTTGTATTGGTTTCGACAGTGGTACCAAGAGCTGACCGTTCAGTAAGCCATGGCAAACTACTGAATGTACAATTTGTTTTAAAAATCACAACATACAAAAATGCTGGGGTTGGTTCTGCAACGTCCTGTAAAGGATAGGCAACTAACTAACTGTAAAGATATAGCATTGTAAATGCAAATGATGTAATTGTTAACCAGTAGTTATTAGCAAAAGAAAATTAACTCTTTTTGTCCCCAGCAATTGTTACTTTTCTATTCTATGATAGTGTATTTGAAAGTATAAACTGCCTTGCTCTGAAATATTTCAACACATAATGTGTACATTCACACAAAACTTTGTGTAATGGGACTACATAAAATAAAAAGATAGGTAGATATTATGTAACATAAGGGAGCTGTAGGGACCCATCTTTGAGGTTCTGAAATGACCAATCAAAGGAGACATGCATCTAAAATTAACACGTTCTTCCTCTTTTCCTTCAGCGTTCCTTGAAGTTTATTGCTGCAGATATCACCCACTTCCTTTCATCTTTGTGACTGGCCTTCTTTTTCCAGTTGGTCACTTCAAATATTTGTAGATTTGCCTGTATACTATCTCTCCACTGTCTTCTTGGTCCGCCTTGTGGTCTATTCCCATTCATCTCTTTTATGTATTTAGTTTTTGTTTCTCTGTTTTCTACCATTTTCTCTGTAACATATGTATTAGAAATTTAACATGTGGAAAAAACACAGGGGAAATCCACAGGTCATGGGCCAGTCTAATATTTCAGGGGCCGGTAGATAGGTGCATGCAGTTGTGGGACCTAAGCTGCATGCAGTCGTTGGACCTAGGCTGCATTTAGTAGTGGGACTTAATCAGCACTCTCTCGTGGGACGTAGACGGGTTGGGGTTAGGGCCAATTCTAGATGTTTTAGGGTTGTTAAAAGCATCAGAAAGCTGGGAAACCCAGTCTTACTACCCTCCAAAATATTGGACTGTCCTGTGACGTCATCTGGGGTAGAATATTATGAAAGAACCAAAATAACAGTAGATGGCATGGTGACAGAAAGGGGCAGAGGCCAACTAGCATAAAGATGGGCACTTGATGTAGGTGACTCCTTAAATATGAAAGTATACAAGGTGGGAAGCTGGTGAGAGACCAAGTTTTTTTCAGAGAAACTGCAATGAATGTGATGTTCTGCAACGGACCTGCTACATGATGAACAGTCTCTGTGACAGGCCATCTCTCTTAACATGGTCACTCTAAAGTGTTAGTAGGTCTGCATGTAGATGATCTTTCTGCCAACTTCTTTGTCTGCCTCGTGATTTTCTGCAGTTCTCCTATGTGTACACAGTGTTCATATCCTGTTAGCTAACCCTCTCTCTATGTA